CAATAGATTCTGTTAAATTTTTATCTAATAAAAGAAAATGACAATATCGGTAAAATGTAATACAATTAACTGGGTATACCGCGGAAGAGTTTTATAACTTTAGTTGCTCTAAGAACAGTTTGAGACCAATCAATGATATATTTAAGATTTAAACTGTTTTATATGGAATAACATACAATGTTACGAATATAATATCAATTCATATAATTTATAATCATTTAGTTGCTTAATAAACCCTTATATATTATTTTTTTAATGTCTACCGAAAAAAGAGTCAAGGCTGTATGATATTTAATATTAATTATAAACATCTAAAGAAATGAATGAACGCTTTAAATTTCAAAAGATTACTTTTCATTGGATACTAGTAATCTTTGTAAATCATGATCGAATTAACAAAATACTCTGTGCAAATCCCATCTTTAACACGAGTCACATTCCGCGTTATTTTAAATAGGCAGTATAAAATAAAGACGCTATCCGTGTATGTCTGTTTCTCCATTTATTTCTTCTAAACTCTACAACGGATTTTGAAACGGGTTTCATTCTCATTGATATATCCTTTTTATGTAAGTTTACTATGTACATTTCTATAAGATTACATATATGATTTCGTATATAATATATAAAATATATTATAAAAAAAAATTGGATAGTGTTAGATGTAAGATAAATAGAGCTTCATTTAATTAGGAATAGATATTTTTATTTCTATACATATGTATAGTTCCTTACTGACCTAACAGTTGTTTTCCTGGAATATTTCCAATTTGATCAAATGTACAAAAGCAAGTGAATGAGGATTAACGGAAACTTCGGCAAACTTAAGAAATTGGATTATTATTTCTTACCAGTATATACGAACTATTTACAAGTATTGATTAACCGGGATAAAATGTAGTCAATTTTTTGTCTATATTCTTTTATTATATAGTTCTCTATGCCAAATGTTACATCCATATCGAGCTTCATTTCAGTTATTAAGGGTATTCATAACGTTTACTTACCAAAGAGTGGCAATATCGCAGTTACCTATAAATTTTTAAAAACAGTTTAACATTTTTTAATGTTTCTGACTAATTATAAAAAAGCGCTCTTTTAGCGAATTGCAACCTGCTGTGTTTCCAGTTCTTTTTTCTTTGAATTGGCTGGACACGCTGCCGCGTGTTTAGATCACACTTTGTTATGATTGATTTAAAGTTTTTAGATTCGAAATAATATATACACTTTCAGATTTATATTTATAGCACAGTGTTAAGACAGAACAAAGAATTATTTAGACTACTGATTCAGTAAGGAAGTACAAAGTAATATACTATACACATATCCAATAATATAGAAGGTAAATTGCTCAACCTAATATTTTAAGATTCCCGAATGGTTACGTATTTTAAAACATTTTCAAATATAGAGTATCAGTGAAATATAAAACGCCTAATATAAATTAGGTAAATGGTTTCCATTTAATTTATGTCAAGTGTCATATTCCTACGGTTTTTATGCAAGGTCATTTCACCATAAGCGTATTGTGAAAACTCTCAGACCCAAAACAAATACAATTTTCAGAAACAACTGCTCCAATATAGGGTTGTCATTACACGAATAAGCAAAGGGTCAAAAGGGTTAATCCTGTTTTCTTTTGTCTTTTGTCCAGGATCGTTCCTGAATATTCAGTTTATAAACGCTTAATTTCCATATAATTTGTTAATTTCTCGAGTATCATATATGGTATATCGTGTATATCACTTACAATTGAAATATAAGTGGACAAAAAAATCATTCAATAGATTGATTCATAATAGGTATATAATACACTATTTAACCGATTTAAAAAAAGGAGGAGGTTTTTATGTTATAGAACATTTCAGTTATAATAAATAATTTTATAAAATCCTTTTTTATCTGAAAGGATATACTTTCAGATTAGTCCTATAGAAATTTTATCAAATCGATCCAGTAGTTTATAGTTTTTAAATCAAAATAACACACGATTGAAGTTGGTGTTTTTTTATGAAACAGAAAACAAAGATCTTATAACTATAGAATCTTTAATATACATTTATTCTATACTATAACACTTTGATAAACTTGGATGTATATCATAGTAATATCCTCTATATTATTAGTAATGCGGACTATCGGATATTGTTAGTAATGCGGACTATCGGTTACATTGCTAGTTATATACCATGTCAGGTCGTCCTTCACGTGGTCCCCACTGAATTCCAGATGTATTTATCACGATAGGCATTAGCCTTGTCTTGTCTTTTCATTCTCACCTATCATTTCTCATTGATGCCCCGTCAGCGTACACCTTTAGCACAGGCAGGATTACCATTCCATTATCATCCTTTAAAAAAAAGTTATCAACCATTAAAAAAATATATCCTGCTCTTACAAGGAAATACCCATAGTGAAGTCTATGGTAGTGAGCCTCTGACTTACGTTCATCGCATTAAAAATATAAATTAATTTAAATGGGAGCCAAATCTCTTGTGAATAAAACATGATAAGGATCATTTCCTTTTTACTTTTATATTACTAGTGGGACAAAATAACATTTTGATAAATTCAAGGCAAAAATAAACAGACAACTTTATTAATGTTGCCTATATTTATTTTATAGGCGTTCTCTTTTGTACCATGGTTCAAAAGGTGTTACAATGTACCTAAAATATTTAATTTTTAGAATTTAAGTATTATCAAATTATTAACCGTGGACTATTTGAAAAAATAGAAATAGTGTAATTTAGCCAAATAGCACAAAACTAAAAAAAGTTCCAGTAGATATAGGACTTAATAATACGCTCGGGGGAAAGGGATTGTTAGTAATGGGATCTAACAGCCCCATTGCTAGCAATATACCCTTTCAGATCGACCCCCACGCGGTTCCCCTGGAAACCGTCGTTGCTAATTCTTGTGAAATTAATCACGACAAGATATACCGATAACGAAGGTTACTATTCCGTTTCCACTCATTAAAAAAATGCGATTACTTTATCGAGAAACATATAATAGTTATATTGATATTGGATAAGCTTCACAGAGCATTTTGTTTTAAATATATAGAAACTACATGAATTTTAATAACTGAAACAAAAAGTAGCTAATTTATTGCGAGCTAAGAACTATTTAATTGTCATAGCTTAACTGTTATTATTTGATAGGATTTATGATGACAGTAATTTTAATTTAAAATGTAAATAAATAATTTAAATTTCTACTGAACGCCGAAGTAAAATTTTATTCATCGAAACGAATTCCTATTAATTCATAATGGGAATTCGTTTCAACGAAAAAGTTGTGCCCAACGGCCCGTGAAATTTCTGTTAGGTACCTACCTAATCTTTGAATTTCGATTACCATGATATTCTTTGAAATATTTTCACCTGAACGATAAAAAGAATGTTCACCTGCATTATTAAATGATATTTCTTCGGCAACTTTAAAGGTAAGTAAGCTAAGTATAATCCAATGTTTGGGCATAAGAATAAGGAATATTGTTTAGGTGAGAACTTGTCTATTTTATAAAAGAACTTCCTTTTGTTTGCGGAAAAAATATATACCTATTATCTCGTACCATCAAAGTAAACAGTTTGTGTATTACTTATATTTAGAGTTATATAAGTGTTTCTAAGTATTTTGGACTGTGTGTAGGATGGGTTGAGAGTTTTTATTTTTTATTTCTAAAACTGTTACCTTAACCTTGTCCGCTATGTAGGTGTAGAGAAATATTGTTGTGGTGCATGGGGATGTGATTTCTGAATTCATGAATGTAGCCGAAGTGTTTAGATGAAAATTTAATATTAATGTAAGCCATTCTATTGGTGTATCACGGGTAGCTCAATATTACGAATATAATAATATTCATGTTATCTCGTTATATGGTAACACATGGGGGGTATCATGGGCGAAATAGTATACTCTGTTATGTCCATGGTACTGCTCATGTCTACAGGCGACAGTTACCACTTTCCATCAGGTGGGCCGTCAGCTTGTTTGCCATTCTAAGTTGTATAAAAAAATGGTTAATCGTAAATACCAAATGGAAATTCAATAATAATATTAATGAAACTGAACAATTTGGCGCGAAAATAATTGTCAAAATTTGGAATTATACTTTCAACCTTTCATACCAAATGTATCTTTGTAATGAGCTATATAGAATGAAATACAGCTGAATATGTCGAATTTGTTTTTTAGGCAAAATTGTTGAGTTTTATAAATACTATCACAGGATTTAAGCTTAGTAAACGTATCTTTTACGACTAACTCTGTATATATGTGTCCATTTAAATAAACACTTTTTTGCCTATGAAAATAAATTAGGTATTTAGTCTAGACTACCATACCATACTTATTTATGAAAGATCTGCGGCGATTTAAAGATAGGTCAGGGCGTCTCTATTATATAAACGAGTCATGCATGGAAATGGTCTGACTCAATTTTGCTTGATTCGTGTCACCGCAATCCAATGAAACCCTTGCCATCCTTTTGACTATGAAATGTTGCGGCAAATTTTGTCGACTTATGCAAATCCCATTAACTGTTGGATTTCACTGAAGTCACATAAAGAAATATTACAATGAGAATAAGTACATATAAGATTTCACCAGAGGAAGACTTTGTACTAAAGTCGATTGCTTGGGTATCTTTATCCCATTCGTGCTTCTACCGTGAAGCAGTTGTGTTTGCATGGCTGTGTTTCGGTTTGAAGGGTGGGATATGGGGTGAATTTACAGGGTACAGAGAAATAACACCTGAATTCTCAGGAATGGCAAAGCATGGGGGGTATCATGGGCGAAACAGTATACTCTGTTATGTCTATGGTACTGGTCATGTACATAGGCGACGGTTAACACTTTCCATCAGGTGGGCCGTCAGCTTGTTTGCCATTGTAAGTCGTATAAATAGATATACAATATTTTTTCCAACTATTATTTTAAATGGGTGTGTTTTTACTAAAATTTATCTATATTTAATTTTATTAAGAAAACAATTAATTAAACACATATGTATTAATCTAAGTATTATTAGATTTACATAAAATATTTTTGTACATTGTTTTATGAAACAACTATTGTTTTTTTTTGATCATATTTCAGTGGAATAATTTAATAAAATTTTAACAATAACTACCGTATGGCTTGGCACATTCGCCCCTCGGGCAATGAAGATATCCTGGTACGTTAGTACTTTCATACGGGACTTTTCCTATGAAGTTTCCACTGAAAATGAAAAAGTTTTTTCTTTATTTACTCGGAAATAACGCGTGATAACGCATCGATTTTCATATTTATATAAACTTAGAAAATATGTATTAGAAACGATTCTGTAGTTTCAGTAAGTTTAGAATATGAGTAATATTTAATTTATTTATTCGAAACAGTGTTTTTCCATATGTGAGTCGCGACCCCTAAGGAGGTCAACTACCCCAGAAAAAAAAACAAAGTTATAAAGATAGTATCTATTACACTTAATTCTATTTTTATTCGAAACCTAATTATGCAAATGCATTAAAACGTTGTATGGATTGAAGTATTCAGTCCTTACAACATCTTTGTAACATTATAAAATACATAAAAAAAGCGAAGGGTCGGGGGTCGCGAAATATTTTTTTATACTAGGGGGGGGGGGGGTCGTGACATGAAAAAGGTTGAAAAATATTGATTTAAAGTTACCGACCATATAAGAAAAATTGGAAAGGCTGAAACTGGAATAGTGCTATAGTGAACCAGTGTCATAGCCTTAAAGTAACTTATTAGTGCTTATTAATTATTTTATTAATATTAATACTATACATATGTATAGTCGAGAATTCGAGTAAAATACACGTAAACCAATCCGGGTATTCTTATAGTCTTTGTTTTTCTTTTGTTATATTTCCATCGTATATAAAACATAAAAGTGTTTAAAAAAGTACTACGGTACGTTATCTGTATAAAATTACTTACGTAGGTCCATAGTCACAAACAAATAATGTTAATGTCCAGTCATTTTCTTTCCTTTGCGAGATACCACAACCTAAATGAGTGGAGTTCGCCCACGCCATCTGAAATTCATGAACTTGTGATAAATATTGCCATAGATAAAATATTTTATGTACAAAGTATATACAAAAAGGACTTGGAGATCTTGTAAGAAAACAGAACACAGATGTGCCGGATTCGTACTGTAAATAATACTATTATAAGTTTGAGAAAATTTGTTGAAACATGAAACTTTAGATAGATAAATGATTAAGAACACTAAATTTATTATTCCAAAAATACTTCCAGAGTTAAAATAACTTATTTTTTATTTTCAAGTTACTTCAAAAGTGAAAAGAATATTAATTCGATTGTATTGTTTTAATGTTCGTTACCTGCTCTGTTAGTTATAAATAGATTTGAAAAAATCTTTTTTATCTGAAAGTTTTTCATTATTGACGCCAGAGGTAGTAGAATTTTATGCAAGTGTTGAAATAAGAAGAATATGTCTTCCAAATATACCCCACTTATTCCTCTTTCATCATAATTATATCAGCTTTTACCATTGCTGAACATAAGTTTCCCTCTTGGGGTATTTTGCCAGTAGTTGCCACAGTTGGCAGGCGGATTGGCAATCACAGTCAGGGCCGTCAGCTTGTTTTAAGAAAAAAGTTCTAAGTTTTATAAAAAAAGACTGAAGATATTTTAAGAGGGACGATACTGCCCATCCCTCACAATCTCTTAGTCGCCTCTCACACCTCTCATGTTTTTCTGTACCGGTAATTCGGTCATGGAATTCATTTCCTACCTATTGAGGTAGGAAATGAATAGTCAGTTCGCTCCATATTTTGCTACCTTCAAAATCTCAGTGAAGTTCCACTGTCTGTCTTATTAGGTAATCTTTTCCTTTTTTTCCTTTTCGTCTTCTTTTTTTCTATTGGATGTCTAGTATTAAATTTACGAAGATACAACTTAAATGAGGTAATGTTTATGTCCAGTTGAGTTGATGATAACAATATAAAATATGATACAGATGATGATAATAATATATTATTATTTTTTATATCTTACCTGAGTGTAATGACCAATGGGATTCAACGTGTTCAGAGAGAATGGAGTGAATCCGTAATTTTTATATTCGTTAAACCACGAGTCCAGGGCTTGCTCAATATTTGGTGTCACTGTAGTATTTATGTTAGAGTAGTATTTTGCCATGTAAATATTTTCACCGACTAAACTCCACCTATTAGAACCTTAAGCAAAAAATATATGGGAATAAAAGTTCATAAATAAGTTCATGGATTAAAAGTACTCGATGAAAGAAAATGTCACAAGAAAACATTACGAAGCAATGTCTTTTCACGATATTTTCTTTAAGAGAGCACTTTAAATCCTTAAGTTTTATTCAGAGGTTTATTTCATTAGGCGCCATAAGAAAAACGATGCTGACATGATGTTATTATATTAATGACTATAAAATTTATACTTGATAATACTAAGTATTATTTATTAATTTATTCGTTTACTAATACGATAGCGATAATTATACTAATACTGACAAATATATATAAAATACTTAAAAGTATTTTAAATGGAAAAGACCATAAATAATGGCCTTATTGCATCGCTAAAGTTTTTTCAGACAACTGTTAATTAGATTGAAGATGATCGAAAAGAGTAGATGGCTCTTGAGTGTAAATAAAAAGTGCAAAGTAGGTAAATAACGATAAACTTAAGTTTTATATTAATTTAAACTAAAGTATGAAAGCGAAAAAGAGATAGAGACATATTTATGTAGAATGAACTGCAATGCGAATTTTTACCCCGTGATTTTTCCGAACATGTTTGTTATATTTACGCATTTGAATAACCAGGTTCATTATCATTATAAAGATATTCATGACTTTTTTTTCACAAGGGAATACAACAATTTTCAATGTCATTTATAATAGATTGATATTCACTTTTTTTCACAAGGGAATACAACAATTTTCAATGTCATTTATAATAGATTGATATAGGTACATAGTTTAATAAAACTGTTATAATTAGAATAATATTATGCGAAGAAATTGATATTGTAATTGGACGCAAAGTAGGTAAGCATTAACAAGTAATACGATCCAATAAAATCTCGTTTAGATACCAATCCGAATAAATAAATTTTGTTACAAATATTTCTTTTAGAAAAATGATCCGAAATGTATCAACGCGATTATTTTTAGATATTTAAGCGAAGTGTCTTCAATCCTCAATGGATATTATTGAAATATAATAGGAATGCAAATGTTTATAATATCTTTTGCTCAAGATCGTAAATTACTGTACAAATAAGGAGTAAATATATTAATGACATTTTTACAAATATCTACCTATATATTTTAAACCGATATTAGGACGTTGTTTACTCCATCACTCTTGAACGGCTGAATTTATTTGAATTAAATTTGATACATTTACATTATATATATTTTAGATATTTTTTTATAAATTCTCACAGGCAAAACTGTAGAGAAAATATTTGTATTTATTTTTATACAACTTAGAATGGCAAACAGCTGACGAAAAGTACAACCTGAAAAGTAAGACCTACCTGATGAAAAGTAGTAACCATTGCCTATAGACATGAGCAGTACCATGGACATAACAAAATATTATTACTCTTTCGCCCATGATAACCCTCATGTGTTGGCATTCATGAGGACACAAGTGTTATTCTTCTGTACCCTGTAAATTCACTGCCATATCCCACACTTTAAACCGAAACACAGCTATGCAAACACAACTGCTTCACAGTAGAAACATGAATGGAACAGAGGTGCTCAAGCAAACGATTTTTGTACAGTCTCTCTCTGGTAATATTACTGAATGTATAGTTAATATTACCTAAAGCTCTATTTGGATTGTGTGATAATTTTCCATTGTCGGCCCATTTTGCTGCTTTATCTGCGAGCTCTTCATCCCAAATCTGAAAGAAGAATTTTAACATAACCAATTAAGTTGACCATTTTATGTTCTATTTTATATTCTTTGCTTTATTTTCTCGTTTCTGAGAGAGACTTGGCATCAAGTTATTTTTGAGCAATACAATTCACTCAGACAAAACACAAGAAAATGTACTGTTATATATGAAATTATTCATAGAAACATAATTGTATTATGTGAAAATATTCATAGAGTTCATAAAATATAAAAGGTTTATAATTTGACTTTATAGACTGTCTATTTATAGTAAAATTTAGATGAAGCTATGCACTTGTGCATGAAAAGATTTTTAAATAGTTTGAAAAAGGTTTTGTTTATAGGTATTTGTTGCTTATACAATAATATTAATTTCTTGTTCTTAATAACAATTTCTACATCAATATTCAACAGATTTTAAAACTTCGTTTTACATTCTACAGATTTAACTGCAAAATTTATCACGATTGGAGTAGTATTTATTAATACTTAAGTTATAATTTCATTTATTCTTCTGTATCAAAAATAAAGAGTATTAAATAAATGAGCACTACTAGTAGTAAACAGACTACGAAAGTATAAACATTGCTGAGAAAATATATATATAGAAAAACTTCAATTTAATATACTTGCCATATATCGCATGTTAGAGGCTGGAGGCTGTCCAGGGACTGCTCCCGTGGCAACTAGCTGTCGTCGTAAATTGTGGCCGTCCACAAAATGTCGGATTTGGTCACAACGTAAGGATACTCCTAATAAACACGTACACATCGACATAAAGAGATATCAATATAGTCTCTGAATACTTTGGCATTACTGTCAAATATTTTATATCTATTATTATTAAAATAGTCAAAAATTACTTTCAACTATTTTGTTTCCAATCATATAATAATATTCGTATTAAATTAAAGGTCACAGTTCGTGAAATCTTAGTTAATATAATTTGGGATAAATAAATGAACACTATCACTTGATTTATATCAAAATAAAATATCTTTTATTGGTAGGGTGATGCTTAGTATTAACTTGAAAAGCAATGATTGTTATTTTTATTTTTACATAACTTACATATATGTTAGCTGTAATGACTAAAACACATCAAAAAATAATTGACAATATTTCTAAAAAATTTACAAATAATGCAAATATTTTAGTGAAGCGATCTTTAAATAATCAATAACTAATGTTAATCAAAATTTACTTACAATACTTAGAATATATCGGCCGTAAAAACACATAAATAACAATATATTATATAGTCACTTACTTTCAGCATTAAAGTAATTAATTAAAAGCACGATTAACACAAGAAATCTATATAAAATCGACATAACGGTAGTTAACATGAAAGTTTTACAGGTAATAATGCACAGGTGTTGAAGACATGAAACTTGAATATTAGCAGTGTTTTATTTTTTAATGTTTGCCCATATAAAACCATTTGTATAAACATTTTTATGGTAAGTTCTAGTAGATATGTAACAGCATTTATATAACGATAAGTAGAACAAAACAATATTATCAAAGAATCTCGGTCTAATTTGAAAATAGGTGATGCAACTGTTCTCTAAAATATTACAAATTTACAAATATAAACAAAAACGAACATATTCAGTTTGTCTGTATTGAGATATATATATAAAGTCTATTTGATTTATAATCCGTCACAATTTTTTAATCTAAAAGCTAAGACTATATGTATATAGATAATATTCAGGGGTTAGGAACATCTATACTTATAATAAATCTGTAGAGACGTCAATTCTGTACATGAAATATATTTCCAAAATAACTATCGGGTGATTAGTGATTAGTGATCGATACTGATGCCAAAAATGCAATCAGTAAAATTTTTGTCTGTCTGTATATTCGTTATAGAAACAAAAACTACTCGACAGGTTTTAACGAAACTTGGTACAATTATTATTCATACTCCTATACAGGTTATAGTATATTTTTCATTACGCTACAATCAATAGGAGCAGAGCAGTGAAGGGAAATGTTGGGAAAACGGGAGAAGTTACTCTATTTTTAAGCTTCCGTCGCGTGTGCAGCCTTAATGGCCACTTTTTAAAATGTAAAAATATCCATCCGTGCGACGCCGGGACGGGCCGCTAGTTTAAAATATTTCAGGGGACTTCAACTATCGGCTCCTCTTTTATCAAACAGAATGTACAGTAGGCGGACTAAATGCTAATAGCGTTCTGTACCTATCAAACCTTTAGGATGTACTCGTATATTGAAAAACCTATATTATATGTAAATAAATTCTAAAATATGTTAAAAGCGAATTAATAACAAAAATACTTCGAAATTCATAATGTCAACAAAGTCACAAACAGTAGACTCGTAGTTTGCTTGTGGTTTTGAAAGTTTAGAAAGTTGTTAGTGTAATTATTTGTGAACAGCTCAGCTCACAAACGATTGTACGGAGGACTAGAAATTCAATAGTCAAATGTACTGTCATTTATCTATTGTTATTAAGCTGACGTTCTACACCTAGCTAGCATAACGTTTACATAATAATTATACAGACCAGGTGTTGTTTTTAAACTTGTCTTCTTGAATCAATGAGTAAATGATCTAGTTTCTACTATAATAACGCTTTTTAATTGGTCTTGTATAAATTTTGTTTGAAGAGTTAATAATAATAAAGTAATAATAAACAAGGATATTAATACTTCAAATCATTTATGAAGAAGTCACAAAAGCAAATTGTTTTTAAGGACGTCAAAGAGAATCAGAGGAAATTCAAAATTCTCTCAGTATCAAGTTTTGTATTTTCATATATTCTGTTTGTTTATATTTACAGTATGTAGGCGTGTAAATTATTACAACCGACATTCTTCCCACATGTTCAACACTGCAGTTTAATGGTATTTGTAACTCGTAATTTGTATCTGTTTTGGAAGAGGTGAAATGTAAGTATGCTAGCAAACTAGCGTTCCTCCTGAATAGTAGATGTGGAGTATGTCCAGTAGATATATTGCATAAGGAACCCGATAATATGTATTCCAGGGCGCCACTCTGCCAGTTTTTTCACGAAAAAGAAAGAAGTGAATAGTCAGCGTCAACTTGATTGGCATTTCTTATAGAACAGTTTAATATTACAGCATTGGTAAATGTAGTGATATGATATATGAATAGAACGATATTCATAGTAATTTTTTAATATTATATCTATTTTGAGGCTACTTCCAAAAGAAGGAGGTTCTCAATTGGTTTAATTATTTTTCTAAATTATAACATTCAAAGTAATGCATTTATGGAATATCTCATTATTCATTGATCCTTCCTGTGTTCCTACTTTTTATGGAATAAATGTAACAAGTAGTTAAAGGCTTCAGATACCGTTTTCCAGCAGATTACCTAGCAGCTTCTTTACCATTTTCAATCCTATTTTTACTAATATTATAAATGTAAAATTGAGTATGTTTATTGGCGATTTAAGGGCTCAACCAATCATCACGAAATCTGGTATACGTGTACTTAGTGGGGTAGAGTACAATATAGCCTACGTGTTTCAAGTTGATCAATACCAAAAAAATAAAAAATTACAAGTTTGACGATTTAGCTGTATTTTGACACCAGAGTAGTGTCAGTGGCAAATGTATTTACACAGCGGAAGTTCTCGGTCGACAGGAAGCAGCCGAGGAAGCGCCCGCCGGAATCGTATGCCCACATCCGCACACTTCGCTGCACTTTGGTCTCACGTGCAATATATACTTGAATTCATCTCGAAACATCTACACTATTTACCTACTTGGTGATAGTAAAATAAATTAAGTACTGTATTAGTAAGTTTTTTTTTTTACAGTGATAGTGATTTTCACTTATTTTATATACAAATTCAAGTAGAATCGAAGTCAATAATTTATTTACATAATAACATTATAAAATTTCTACTAAAAATGATTTTAACTAGTGTGTGATGACTTATGGTATTGAAATGTAACCGTTAGTTTACTGCTGATTATTAGAAAATGCCTCAATTTATTCACCGAGCTATGGAAAAGGCCATGGTCGAATTTTCATAGTTTATGAAAATCTGGAATATGAATATCCACAGAAGAACTAAAGTGATTGACATAGACTGCAGTTTTTTTTTATACAATTTAGAATGGCAAATAAGCTGACGGCCCACCTGATGGAAAGTGGTAACCGTCGCCTATAGACATGAGCAGTACCATGGACATAACAGAGTATACAGTTTCGCCCATAATACCCCCATGCGTTGCCATTCCTGAGGATTCAGGTGTTATTCCTCTGTACTCTGTAAATTCATGCCATGTCCCACCCTTCAAACCGAAACGCAGCCATGCAAACATAACTGCTTCACGGTTGTAACACGAATGGGACAGAGGTACCCAAGCAAACGACTTTTGTACAAAGTCTCCCTCAATGAGCATATTTATAATAATCAATAATGTATAGATAAGAAAGAAAGTGGTGACCTCATGCAGGCAAGCGTTGTGTGAAACGATCCGCCCCGCGATGGAGTGTTGTCGCAGGAAGTCAGTGGACGCAAGTGTCGTGGGATCGTAATTTCTGGCGAAATATGACGAAGATTTATATTCAGCAGTTGACGATAAATGGGTTGTAATAATGATAATGTCTGCAAGTAATTTCACTCATTTATCGCACATAATTATAATATGTTGTTAGAATGAGTTTACTCATGGTCCTAAGTTACACATTATTATGTCACTAAGTATAATGTCTCAATATTTTGACATTTTGACAAATAAATGAATAAATGAGTACTGTTATTTAATTTAATCAACACAGCAAGATGTTACTTCATTTAAATAGGAACGGATTGAAATTATGAAGAAATCTGTATTAACTACTGTTTCAAAATTAAAAATAAATCTAAGTTAGAACTATTGAAATACTTTCCACTGTTACAATATGACCATGCAGTCATCAAAATTCCCTTTGGAATCGAGTCTCGTTATCGTCGTTTGTGTTTGTTCACACAGTATTGATAGATTGTGGGCTTTTGCTCTCGCTCGATACCTGTATATCAAATGATTACATCTTAATTATTCTTATACATTAACACAGTATATAAGTAATATGATATTGCTATATTAGGTACCTAAACCTAATGAAATGAGTATGACACATTAAATCTTATTACATGTTCTTGGTTTCTCTATGCCATAGATATACGGCTGTAACGCACTCGGGAGAAGAAAAGAAAACAGGTCAGAATTATGTGTTTATTTTATACGTATCTAACCATCCTTACTAATATTATAAATCTGAAAGTTTTTGTATTTGTAACCTTATAACGTTTTAACGGCTTAACAAATTACTATTATATAAAATTGGGTATACACGTACATATATGGCATAGAGAAGTTTATAGTCTGTTTTTTATTTTGTTCAGTGAAAATATCCGGAACACGCGGACGCAGTCGCAATTGAATCACTAGCTTTTACTAGTGACTTTATATAGTAATTAATTAACATATGCCTGACTAAATTAAGAAATGACATGTTTAGGTAAATAGGTAATTTAACTTATTTATTATTATTTATTTATTACGAGTATCAACAGGGGAAATTATATCACTAGAACATAATTATTAGACTTTTTACACTTAGAAAATATATTTCTGGAGACGTAATTAAGTAACAGGTTACGTTTTAATTAGAAGATGGTACTTTAATCGATGAGAATAATGGCTTCACTGAAAATGAAATCAAGAAAACAAGATCGACTTTTTCCTAGAACTCATTTAAATTGTAAATTTTGGCTTCCATTCATTTCCTTCGCAATCTACTTTTTTGTTTTGTCATTATATTTAAATGTTAAATTCAATTTATAATCAATTCTTACTTAAATCAATTTAAATCAATCAATCGAAATTGGTTTCGTGCTTGACAATTTCTTTTTTAAAACATACTACCACTCGTTGTCAGTATTATCTTTACAATCTTCGGTATCTATCTAGCCAAAAAACATAAATAAGCTAGTAGGCCGGTGTATGTAATTGTATTTGGATTTGCATAAATACATAAAATTATATATATATATATATATATATCTTTATTTCATTCATAAATATGTATTAAACCAAAAACTTATATTATTATATCATAATATAATTGGGTATATAATAGAGTTTAAATAAAATCCATTCCGCCATTTACGCAACACTGAATAACAAATGTCTTTACCAACTATATTTATATGATTAAATTATATATATATATATATATATATATACATACTCAAGGCTTTTTGGGTAGTATAAATTGGAGTTGTATCCCTAAGTTATTTACAATTTTTTCTAGGGCTCGCTAGGGCGTCATCTACGGGAAAAAATGGCAAGTTAGTATTGTAAGTATTGTAAAAATTACCTCCTTATAGTTAATTGGTACTTATAGAAGATGAGGAGCTTCATTTAATTCTAACGAGGTGTGGTTAGTGATGAGTGGGTGCGAGATTACACCCACCGGGGGTCATAGCTTTACGTCCGTCAAAATGGCCACTGTTTAGTATTTTCAATGGTACTATTAAATGCATACCTAAACATTAAAACTTAATGTTCCCATTTAGGTAAATGTATGAGTATTATTTTTTAAACAAAACAAAGACGCAACAAACAAGGGGTAAAATTTTAATTAAATAAAAAGTAGATGTTAATAAATTTCATACGAACAATGTCATGGCGCGCATCATTCAGTTAGATAATAATTAAGCCTCTCTTATGACTACAATTAACTTAATGACCAATTTGATGCCATGATTATAGTATCCATCCATTTATAATAATTCATTAAGGTCCTAATACAGGGCATGGGGTTTTATCTCAAATGAGATGTGGATATATGAGTAATCACTATCTCTTCACTGTGAATGTGTGAAAAATGTGTGTATGTTTGGTATAGAATTTTATTCCCAATGATTATCGTATTTCAAAGGTACAACATAGGACCAAAATATTATAATATATTTTCTATAATTATATATAATTGAAAATATATTTAGTGGTTTAAATTTATACTACTTATAACAACAAATATATAACAATTGATAAAATAAATGAAGCGTGTTACATTACGAACCAGGAGTCTACCTACCTACATTTTAGGCATGAAGATAAATTGACTCTGTAAAAACTTTTATTTTCTCAGACCGAGCAGAAGCTTCGTAACAGCTTGCATTTATTTTGTAAAAGATTTAAGAGGGTGTATCTGTATTGTATGTACCTTTTAATATTCTCCGATCTCTATGGTGGGCATAGACATATTTAATATGATAAATAACTCGCGTGGACCTTTATGAAAGTGTACGATGCGATAATATTAAATGATAATAGGTTGAAAGAAGCCTCGTAAATGATAATGTATTCGTTGGTGACCTCAATAAAAGTTTCATTTATATAGCCTCAAATAAAATTAGCGGACTTCTCTTGACGAAATATATTGTTTTATATATTATAATGTATTTTAATAGTTGTGATTATAGCCAGTTGGTAAAACTTCATATACATATTAATATTATTAAAAAAAAACTTGTACTCTATCACAGAAAAGGTTTTACAGATACATCTGATCAGTTTCGGCGTTTAGGGCATGTTTAAAAGTTAATTTTTATACTAGGTTTTTCCTGATGGTTGTTAATTAATAGAAATTAATGGGTATATGAATATAGTGGAAAAATGTATACCAAAATATTAGGTAGTTTTTTTTTAAAAAAAAAAAACCTTTTCCACAATATAAGTGTTGTCTCATTATTGAGTATTTTTTGTTTGTGTGTATATTAATTTATATTTTTTTTGTTCAAACAAAACAAAATAATGACGGCACGTAGATAATTATGATTGTGCTGACAATTTGGTTACTAGATATATTGATATTATAAATGCGAAAATAAGTTTTTTTTTTTTGTTATTTATTTTTATTATGTCTTAGCGTTTTAACAGTACGATCAATCATTATGAAATTACTATACACGTAGTATTTGAGATGAGGTTACTACTTATCCTAGTAAGTCAACAGACAATGGAGATACTATATGCTACAAACATATTAGATATTCTTGAATTAAGCATAGTTTATTGTAAATTAAGCTAACGTTCTTGTATAATTTCATGCTGTAATCCTTAGAGAATACTTGGCAGGAAGCTCAGTCCATCCTTATACGTACAATTATCATACTCATAATAGGTACCTGCTTCCGTAGTGCAGTGGCAAGGACATTGCATTGGTTTAACGAGTTGATCGACCGAGATCTCGGTTGAGCTCAGAATTTTTTTGTTTGGTTGCTCATAACAACAGGATTTCCTGTCTTAAGGTCCAAACGTATAATTTGATTGCATGGCACTTAAAAAATTAAAATATTGATTATGAGTATAAGTATATTCAGTAGCACTCAATGTCTTTTGATGCATTCTTTACGAATGTAAATAACAGATTTTGTTATAAATGGAATGGCTTCGTAATAAAAGCCGACATTCCCATTTGCTACATGCATGTAGACGTAATGGATGTAGTGCGGTTCCTCACCATCATCCATTCAGCGAGGGGATTAGAATTAAAGGGGGAGGGCTCTGTCGTCGCTTCAACCTTATGGGATTAAGAGACCGGCTGCGAGTTTTGTTGAGTGTGTTTAATTATTTCTGGAAACAGAGTGCCCAACTTTCCTTGTATGGATAAATATGAACTGCCTGAAATATAAGAATGATTTAACTCCTATATTTTTAGCATTAGTCATATAACATATAAACACGCACTGCAAATGCTGTGTTTGTACTCAATAGTAACAAGACTAATTATCCTATTTATTTATTTTTGCAAAAACTACCTATGTAATAAAAGTCTGAGTTATCGTCTCAGTAGGTCTACCATGAAATGATTTCCGAAATTTCGGGGACGAACGAAACAGAAATTTGATGTTAAAATTACATAATACATGCCGTTTAAAATTATTAAAAATGTTAAAACATCGTTCCTCTGGAGTATTAGGATAGGCGTTATTATGAATTTTATAATAATATTATGAAATTTTAAGCTCCATTTACTGGCTCGATTTCAGTACGAACAAAAACACGAAATTGAGCCCGAAAATTCGGAATTTCATTTCATGGTAGACCACCAGATCTCTATAGGTCTATAGGTTAATAAGTCAATCCTGTATTTACTAAAGTAATTATTTTTTCAATCACATTATGATAATCGAGATTGGAACAGATATGTGTATTAGAGATATGACAATAATATATTTTAGTTTAAAATCCAGGAGATTTATTGTAAACGCTTACTTTGTATAAAAATTTGTGAATACATACGAATATCTTACCCACGCCAAGTCATTGACGTCACGAAATATTGGCACCCTCAGTGCCGGTTATGACACTAGTTTGATTAATTGTCATTGCTGTAGTGATTTTATTTATATTTCATCACGTAATAGCAATCGAGCTTATGGTGCAGAAGTGAAATCTATTGTGATAATCATCTATGGAGATTAAACACAAGTACTTAAGTTTTGATATATAAGATTTTAACTTACAAATGAAATTAACTGCGGACAAAATTAATACGGAAATACTACGAGAATAAACCAATACATAATATTTTTGATATTTTTTATGTAACTTTAGTAAACAAGAAAACTTTGGCAAACAAGCTAAAGGAAAGTGCTAACCGTTGCCTATAGACATGAAAAGTACCATGGACATAAAAGAATATGCTGTGTTGTCCATGATACCCCTCATGCGTTGCCGTTCCTGCGGACCAAGGTGTTATGTCAATGTACTCTGTAGTTCTAACTGAGACACAGCCATGCAAATATAACTGCGTCACGACAGAAACACAAACTCTTAAATTAATATTTGATTATATACATAAGTATAAGCAATATATTGTATAAAGAATAATATTTGAGTAATGAGTTTTAATCGATGGACAATGAAATGATGAGAAAATAAAGATTTGTGGAAGTGTACTACTTGATGGCCTCGTTTATATATATATATATATATATATATATATATATATATATATATATATATATATATATATATATATATATATATATATATATATATATATATATATATATATTACTATTAAAGCCATAATATATATATATATATATATATAGAATAATAAGAACGGAAGGGAATATATAACATAGGTAGGTATGAATATATAAGTATAAATATAGGGTAGTAATTACAGTTAGGTACGTGTTTGCAAAAATGAAACAAATTAGAGAATTTAAATATCTATATTTTATACATAAATTCTTTTTCATGAAACACTTATATCGCTCGTCGTTTTAACTAATTTGACATATTTTGAGATACAGCGAACACCTCTAATAAACGTGATACCAATGTCAAAACTTAACCAAATATTTGGTTGAATATTTGGTCAAAATTATATTGTCTTGGGTCATTTTGTCCCGTTATAGCACTAACATTTTAGAAATTTCATTATTATATATGTATTATAATGAAAATGCTAATTCTTAAATTACTGACTACAATTGAATCTCAAACACTATTGTTATAGTTAAAACCTTACAATAATAATATGATACCAGCTGAGATAGCATTTAGCTTTGGCTTAAAATTCGGGATATATGTTAGGTATATGTATAAATCTATAAGCGACAGATTATGTATGTATATTTATTAAGAATTATATAATTTTATAGAAAAAGTGAAATGCTGCTTTTGCTTCTTAATAAATATAAGACAGAGATTTTTTGTAAGTACATAAGAAAGTTGTATATTTTATATAAAACCGCTGATGTATTTGAGCTGAAAGCAGCATCTCGTATGTTTTTTTTTATATAAATTTGTGACTTCCATACCATAACATTCGTTAATGTGATACAAATTCAGTCGCACCGAAGTAATAGCTACAAAATTATACAATCATTACAACGAACTATCACAACTTATACGAATTATTTACATCTGCTTAGTGATCAAAAGAGACAATCACAATGTAGCCTCATTATAATCGTAAGCACATTTATATCTATTTACATTATTAACTCACTAAATTCTTCACAATTCGAAATTTTTTGTTTTATTAATAGACATCATTGATATCTTATTGGACATCTTAGATAATTAATACACTGTGGATATTAGGAAGTACTTTCGTTTATAATAATAATTAGTTATAATGATAAAATTTTATGAGACGATAAATTAGCATTTTTTTATTATTCCTTTTGATGTCTGGGTTTCATTGGCTATAAAATTTATTATCAAATAGTACTCGATAAATTGGTACATTTATTAAAACAATTTAGCGCAGTCCATCGAAGTTAATATTGCGCAATAATTTTTTGTATATACTAGATTATTTAATGAATAGAAAATAATGTTAGAAGGTGTAGGTAACATTCAATAAATATTTAATATTAAATATACATTTAAGAAGATAACATGGAATGTAATTTAATGTAGTCTATGACATTATTTAGATAACTTTAATTAAATAAATGTCAATACTTCAATTTCCAAAAAAGGCACAACGGACCAAATTTAAAATATTTAAAAGGTACTAGATATGAGAGAATGTGAAATTTAATATTTTCTAATGTAACTTGGACAGATAAAAATGTTTAATTTATATAATTTTACTGATAAATTGTCTTTTTTTTTCAAATATTCTATATATACTGCGTGTATAAGTAGAAATACAATATATAAATGTAAATAAGTGTAAAGATAATATTAACTTTCTTAAATATTTTATTTTATTGTTTAAATATGTTTAGACTACTATGGTTTTGGTTATATGTTTTGACGTCAATGGTGCTCTTCATACCAAACGGAGAATTTATAATTTGTCATCATGCAAATCTGTCGATTTAATCCTAGGTATTGTAATCATTTTTACGTGGTTAAATGATTCGGAAATATTTTTCATAAAAAGAAATCAAGTTATTTAAGAAATCTACTGCTCTAATAGCATCGTCGCTCACTTCATTAATAGTCATTTTTACCACTTGACATTATAAGAATTGTGAGTGTGTGCAGAGTATGTTTTTTTTTTTTGCTTTATAATACTTCGATACAAAAGAGAAAAATTATCAAAATGTATTAAATTGTCGAAGATGTCGCATAATATACACACAAAATATGTAATTTAAATGTAATAAATTGATACCTTTTTCTATTTTGGAGCGGTTTGATCAGTTTAAAAACTAATACTTTGATTGTTATAGTTGTCTATAGAATTATACAAATACTAAGAATTGTCTCTATGTACAATTTTAGTTTAACTGTAAAATATATTTTGTAATAATGTCTCATGTAAAAATGATGATAATGAAAAACTGTAAAATGAAAGAGATTGTTTTCTTGTCAGTACCTATTTTAAAATTGGCAGTGTGTCTGATGTTTATTAATTATTTAACTGTTACCATAACATATAAGTAATGTCATATTTTGATATATTATTTTATATGGTACTTTCCTATTTCAGTCAATAAGATCAAATCCATCGACAAAATATATAAATAAGCAAATGTATAAATATCTATTTAATTTTAATACTTTCACGGATACTAAACACGTCACGATAAAAGATTCGTTAGATATGTTGAGTGACCGTCAAAGTGTTAATAAATAAAAATCACACTTAAATTAATTATTAAAAAAACTTTTGTATGTTCTTGCGTTGATGGCAGTTTGTTATTCTATAATTATGAATTAATACATAATAATAAAACTCGCATACAACACAGCCCTTTTAGACAAATGACAAATGGATCTATGGATAGATTTGTTTCCGCTAGCGAACATATGAGAAAGAACAAGACATCGGTTCTTGCTATCTCGTTCTGTCTCATGTTTGAATAACCAATAACATATTTATTGATAGATTTGTTTGCCACATATCTAGGAGGGCAGACGTCAAAGACGGAATAAACGTAGCTACCTATATCGCCGACAATAATGGTAACTATTAAAATCGTATTGCCATCATTATTACTTATAAAATAACTAACAAGTTTTTCTCTAATCTCAAAGTGATCAATATTGCAAAGATAATACAATTACAATGAATAATACAAACACAAATTAATTTTGTAAACTGTAAATATTACAGTTTAATAATTTCGCTAAATGATAAAAAAAATCAAGTAGAAAGATGATTAATCCTGTATAATTCTCGCGAATCCAAAGGACAAGATTAATAAGAAAACGGTGTAAGCGAGACGGAGCGTGTCCGCGGCTCCAGTGGCGCGGACGTCACTTTCAAGCACGAAAGGCTCATCGATGACGTGAATGATGCCATTTGTACACTCCACGTCGGGGCGGAACACATGTATCCAGTGGCCGTTCCATTCTACGTAATAGTCTGAATAATTAAAAATAAAAAAAAAATATATATTAATAAAAAAAATTACCTTGGGTCCAGAAATGTTATATATAATAGATAAACGGTATCATAATTGACTTATTACATTAGCATGATTGAAGTATAAATAAAGTTATGGGTATTTGCTATATAGTTTACTGAATATTAACTAAATATTCAGTTAATTTCGAATTAGTCTATGATAGTGAAGTAAATGGTGTGTTAAAAGCTTACTCTTATCAGATTCCTTAACACGCAGCCGGAGTGGATCGCGCGAAGTCGGCAAAACGAACGGATGCGTTTCATTTGCAAGCAATTTCAGATCAGATACAGTGTATGCTCGGCCTGCACGAATAACGTGCCGTTCTAGGATTTGTTTTGTCTGAAAATTATACCATGGGTTAATTATATTACACGTATTAGTGAATAATCAAAATTGGTGGAATTAGAATGATATACTATTTAACTTATTCATTTAGTGAACCAATACGCTACACCAAACTGATTTTTACTTTATTCATGATATAGAAAAATTTATTTCAAGTATTCGATTTTAGAAAAATTGTTTTTAAAATTTTATTCAACTCCATAAATAATTAAGACACGAATTCGGTCAATTCTCTATAAAATAATCCCATATTATCTAATGAGATTGTAAGTATAAAGCCCGTATAATAAATATTGAAAATCCGAAGCCCATGTTGTGAAAGTCAATTCGATAAGATAGTTTCCAAATTACATAAATTTTTGTGTTCTTTACTTGATACTAAATTGAGTTCAATACTGGATTTTGTTACTTTTTTTCTAAGTATCTAAAATCGTTTTCTTATTTTAATCGTTACATCGACGATATGTCTCTTTAAATTAGAATTAGATTATCCTTTCGTACTAGTACATATAATTAGAAATTTACGTAATTACTTACGAAATAACCAAAGTCTTCTTTAAACAGTGCTTTGAATGCAGACGGATGTCGGATTTGGAATTTGAGCCAGGCATGATCCCGAGGAACAAAGTACGTGTAACGATGTTCCATTTCATTTAATTGATGATTAAACATCTGGCGTTTTCCGAGATTGTACGTTATGCTACAAAAATAATATAATACATATTATTTAATTAAAAAAGTAACAAAAATAGAATACAATTTCTTCTTTGCAGTCAAAGAAGTGTTATATTTATTTATTAGTTAAGAAATAAACAAATGTTATTCTAAGAAAGGCACGTAATATTTGGATATTATCTTTATGAAACAAGTTCAAAATAATTAAAAACAATTTTTTTTTTGTATAAAATGTTTTCAAAATGATGAACGAGTCACATCTACTGTTTACCATTTATTTCGACAAATTTATTAAATTATTTTTGTTTGTCGACTCACTTGAGCATCGGATCAGTCTTCAATTTTTCGAATACAGTCGTATAAGGAACTCCCAATACTCTATCTATAATATGTACAAAACCATTTGTAGCAGCAATATTTGGCTGCGTCACTGTAGCGTTTACTCCACCACCTTCCACGGTCAATGTCTGGTTATGTCCGTGGATCAAAACATTAAAGTAGAGATACTTTCGAGGTGCCGCGGTGGGAGCTTGGTAGATCTAGAAAATACATTTAAAAATAAAACGATATATCCAGTTCACTGAAACAAACAAACTACAGCACTTCGATTAGTAACACAAAATGTAAATTTTGGCAGCGTCCAAAACAACATCCTTATTAAAACAGCACCGAAATACTCCTGTAACGACATTCAGTCACAAAATACTTAATTACAAGATTCAGCTACAGGCCTGGACCGTATATGAAAAAACTTATTTTTAAATGACAATATAACATAAAATTACTAAACTAATACTTCTGATGGCTTTGTTGCGAGTTTGGTAAAAGTAGAAAATACTTGTACATTATGTCTGATGTGCATTTTTGTAATGCAGTTTATTTGGATAAACTAAAAAAAAGTTTTTAATTTTCATTTATATAATACATATATTATGATAATTAATTCAGGAATAGTTTATAACTCCATATTTTATTTGTTACTACTATCAAAAATATTCAAAATGATTTCGAAACATGATATAGTTGTCTCGAAATGATTAAAATTAGACATAAATATCGTGGAGCCTTTGAAATTCTAGGTGTTAAAATATAACTTAGGCGTGAATTAAACATAACACCTGAGTCCTCAGGAATGGCAACGCATGGGGGGTATCATGGGCGAAACAGTATACTCTATTATGTCCATGGTACTGCTCATGTCTATAGGCGACGGTTACTACTTTCCATCAGGTGGGCCGTCAGCTTGTTTGCCATTCTAAAATATATACAATATTAATATTGTTAAAACTAACTCAGCAGCTCAGTATTATAGATACCCTCTTAAAAAGTCGTCTTTCTTAAACTTGCGTCTAAGTGCTGTGGGATATTGAAGAGTTTTTGAAAAGTTTTCAGAGCCTGTGCTCTGCTTACACGATAATGCGCGTAAGTAAATATCAATTGAGAATTCTTCCTAATACTCCTTCCTAGATTTTTTTTTATCTGGTTAGGTAAAGTAATTGGGTTAGATAAAATAAATGATAATAATACTTCAAATTCTAGGTTGTCAGTATATATACCTACCTACATCTTTTAACTTCGATACATTCAGTTCACTAATCACATACATGCTACTCGTATCGCATTTCGATCAGTAATAACGAGATTTTCAGTCAGATGTTTTTTTTTTTTATTTATTCTATATTTAGCGTTACAAATGTAAATGTTATTTGTATGTTTGTCTTACTCTATTTAGCTTTAAGACAAAAAATTATAATTTTTTGTTACATTTGTGAAGCGACCAAATTTAGTTATTAATGATCGATGCTATCGCACAATAAATATACAACTAAGGACCTTGACTATGGATGAAAATAAATCTCTCGTAAACACCTACATAATGTAAAATTAATAAAACAATGGACTATTTCGTGTCATGCAAATACCTAATGGTAAACATTTATGAGACATCTGATATGGTATGAAAAACTTATTGAAAAGAAATAAAAATCAGACAATAAAACGATGGGATTGGTTTCGATTTAATATTTAATCAACGTACAGTTCCGGGGAGCTGATTCCAATACGCAGCGTTACCGAAGAATAAATTAAATACATGAAATTAATTTTAATTAAATATACATTTGTTTGACCAGTATTTGCTGCAATTTATGGTTTAAATTAATTACTTTACCATTAATTTAAATTTACGAAATCTACAGAATACTACGGACTTATAATTTTGATATGATATAATTTTGTCAAAATCATTATACATTTTTATAAATATAGTACTCACAGGTATAATGCAATATAATTGCCATTTAAAATATGAATAGACTATAAATTAGTAATATCAATATTGTGATTTATTACCTGATTCATATTGTTATGAATAATCGCATCCATGGGTAATCTATCACGAACAAGATGAAGATTTAGAATGTCCATAAGCTTTTGATGATTCCTAAAATAGAAAAAGTAATTTATAATTATGTCAGGAATCGGTCTATATTGAATTCTCAGTTTGTACCAATAGATTATTATAAAATAATGAAAAATTTGAATAAACAATAGTATTATTTTTCTTAGTAATAACGAATAAAGTAGATATAAATGATAATTTTTTTTTTCAAACAGGACACGGCCATAAATATATATCTTATATATTTTTTAATATACCCGTAAATACCCGTGGCTGTGTGTTGCTGGCACAGAATAGGCAACCCCTTTCTTTCTCGTGGGTGTCGTAAGAGGCGACTAAGGGAGAGTGAGGGATGGGCAGCAATGTCCCTCTTAAAACATTTTCAAAAATCTCAACTGCAGTTGCTAACTCGCCTGCCAAGCGTGGCAACTACCAGCAAAACCCGCCAAGGGGGCGGTTTATGTTCAGCAGTGAAAAGTTAGAGGCTGATATGATGATGATAATCGCTTCTAAAGATTTTACTGACTATATATGCCTTCATATTGAAACACACGAACTCAATTTATTACTTCACGACAGAAATAATTAAAGAACCTATCCAGGCTACGTCACAAACAAACTAAAAATTACAACCTAGATTCAAGCTCCCTCATATTCGATGTATAAAAACAGACCTGATAATATTTTGCACACTATATTCATTCCATGCTTCGTTAGAAGGTGCGAATAGTGTAATGTCCTTAGCAATTGTCAGTTCTTTGAAGAACTGATTATTGGCACCCAAGTCTAAAATCACTTCATAAAACTTGCACAGTGGGCCATCTTCTTTTTCCTGTGAAAAAGTATTATATATTATATTTATAATACAATTGAAAGTGTTGGCTCTTTGTAATATATAACGCTACTGTTAGATTACGCAAATACCTACTAGTAGTATTAAATTTTAAATATGACGTAGACAAACGAAATTTCACATATATTGTGGTATTTAGAGCAATTTATAATTTCTTATATTAGTAGTTTTAGTTTCATTTTAGAAAATACTAAATTGAGTGTAGTTTCTTCAGTACTAAATGGTTATAAATCTAATTATATCTATATGGTATGGTATGGTACAAGTAAGATTTTTGTAATTTATATAGTATGTAGAAACTTGGTGAAAACAAGATCATCGACATTTCTATAATAAGTATATTTTATATATTTTAGTAAACAAAGTAAAAAAAAATATTTAAAATACTTTACCTTGCATCAATGTTTTATCTAAATGCTATAGGTGTAGGTAAAAGAATATCAGTCACTACTAACAAGAGAAAATATTTAATGCAACTCCATAAAGATAAAAGAGTTAAAAGAGTAATGAAGGCAAGAAAATTATTTGTGGAAGCATGCAGAACGTGTCAATACTTACAATCCCCTAAAGTTGTCAATTCATGCAGGATCCATCAGGGGAACAGCACAAACATATGAAAAGTGTAACAAATATATCATAATATGGATATGTAATTTTAACAGAAAATATGTTGGTACAAAGGTTACTTATTTAGCTAAGTAATTAAGCTAAATTATTTAGATATGCATGATTAGTTACCTACTGCATTCATAACGTCTAACTACAATTAAATATACCTATAATACCCAATAAATGCGTACAATACAATATAAGTACAATAAAATATATGTAACTGTTATTATTATCTTTATTTGACATTTCATGTTACGTTAATAGATACTGTGATAACTATCACAAAACTAATTAATATTCGACTACGTCGATCTCAACACAAAACAGGGCTCCCACACATCTATCTCAAATAGAAGGACTTACCAAGTCAATACAATTACATTTAAATAAACGACCGATTGCACAACAGATAAAGGTTAAAACGTGCTTTCATTATTCATAAAACATTTTCTTAGAAACGAAAAAAATACGTCAATGAAATAAGAGGACATTTAAAAAGATGGATAGTAAAATGGAAATAAAGTCACTTTATTTTACCTTCATTGCCTGGTTTCCACATAAATGGAGCGGAAAGTCAATGGTAGTATTCAAAAGTTTATCATTCATCAGATATAATGATTTGTGAAGTTATTAATGATTGTGAATATTATTTCAAGTGAAACAATAGGTACGAACAAAACAATAAAGCGATTCTTGGTAACAAAAGTCGAGATTTTGATATAATAATATTTTGAGGTCAGTATTGTTTTGATATTTAACGAGACTTGTTAATTACTAGAATCGCAAAGATCGTTTAATAAATATTATGTAAATTTCAAACATTGATTTCAAGTTTGAAGGAATAAATTTGTCAGTTTCTTCATGTTAAATTTTTCGAATAGACTGATAATTTTCCATATATAATATTAAATATTTGCAAAGGTTTAATTGATATTATAGGTACTTATAGGTAACTTACCTTAAGAAAATCAACAACTGTGGTGTCCACTACCATCAGAGGTCTCTGAATGAGATGGACTACCCCGTTCTTGACTGGTATGTTAGCTTTTACAATATCAGCCAATACCACTCCTCGACTGTGTTTCGTATCGCCAGCAACCGTGTTGGATTTTACGTACGCTGTTAATGGAAACGTTTCAATTTACTTTATGCAATTTTTTTATACAACTTAAAATGGCAAACAAGCTGACGGCCCACCCTATGGAAAGTGGTAACCATCGCCTATAGACATGAGCAGTACCATGGACATAACAGAGTATACTATTTCGCCCATGATACCCCCCATGCGTTGCCATTTCTGAGAACTCAGGTGTTATTCCTCTGTACCCAGTAAATTCATGCCATATTCCACCCTTCAAACCGAAACATAGCCATGCAAACAGAGTTGCTTCACGGTTGAAACACGAATGGGACAGAGGTACCCAAGCAATCGATTTTTGTACAAAGTCTCCCTCTTACATTAATATGTAGTTAAATATGTTTGACTGCAAGTAAATTAAATATAAATACAATTGTTGATTACGATATTTATATAAAATTGTTATTGTAAATTTACATTAATGAATTTAATCTAATAATTTAGAAATGTTTTTATGAAAACAAATCTGATCACACAAATGATAGACGAAATGGTCTTTCATTATTTAAAATTTTATTCTAAAAAATAGTGACTTTAAATTTAACAAATGAAAGGTGTAGGTTATATCCGAAAAAAAAAATTATAAATTGAAAATTTTAATAGGTCATCGCATAACGTACTCAAATATACAGAGGAACTGACATACCTATTTCTCTTTTTTTGAAAAGTCTTTTAAATGTCAAATCTCTGTGGCGATATACAAAACTCTACGGTTTATATATATGTCTATATCCATGTAAAACGCTATAATATATCACAGATTTTAAATAATACCCCTCATTAAAAGATTGATTCCATACGTACTGATCTCCTCTTTTCCATTCATAGCTGTGCTGAATGAAATAATAACTTTAACGTTATCACTGAAAGCTAATGTCTCGTACTCTTGTGTGTCGCGCGTTGCTTGTGTAAAAAGTACATGGTGTGGAATGACATGGCCATCCACAACTTTCTCATCTATTAGATCTGATCTTGTTGTAGGCTGAAATAAAAAGACATTATTCAGTTTTTTTGTGGGGTATTTTTAGTAAATAAAATTGGCATGTCTTTTTATAATTCATATGATTTGATTAATCATTAAAATAAAAAGGTTTTTGTTTTAATTAATTCACAGTCAGTTATCGTGCAAAAATTATATATGATATATTTTATATTTAAATAATTTCAATAAAACGACACATTATAATTGTTTACTAATTAAGCCAAGTGACAGCAAACACTATAATTCATTGTCATTATCAGAAGTATTTATTTAATTACTATCGTAAATAAAAAAATGTTATATAAAATATTTTAAATGTATATTACCTTAAAACCTTCGTCAACAGGAATAAAGAATGTATTTCGACCGTCAGCATTGAACACTTCTTTCTTTTGTAGTTGGTTCACTTTTTGCCGGAAGGACCTGCAAAATGAAATATGTAGATACTACCGCAATTTAACTGGGATGGATATAAATTTAAAGTATCTCACTGATTTATTGTTGGCGGACTTTCAGTGGTTTGTTATATAAATAGCTCTTGATTTAATGCGTTTCTGTCGTTCAAAATTGTCGTTTATGCTTAAGGATGACATTTAAAAAATCACTTTACTGACTATTAGGTTAAATTTATTGTTTTAATTTAAAACTGTAATTTATTTACATAAACATACTATATAAATAAACGCAAAGTTATATAGATGTATGGCTCTAATTTATTAAATTTAAGATATTCATAACTTCCTTTTAATTCACATTTAGTTTATAATGAATTTTTAATACAATGAACCCTTAATGAAATAAAGTACAGGCGACACAATTGCAATGAACTTACGTAAAATTAATAAATATTTTTTTGTGTATTAACTAATAAAGTTGCAATAATTTGATAGAAATTTCTTGTAGCTTATCTCTTATTAACATAATACGTATAAAGAAAATTTTACAGAGATTCTATATTTCAATGAGTACTTCTAAACTACTTTGGTACTTAATAAGTACTAATTTATCGCAAATATGTCGAATAAACAGATAAATCAGGAAGTGATCTACGATATAAACAGTTTAGATTAACACAAATAATAATTTTCCATCCAACAATATTATGTTCCCATAATGATATTAACAAGTATAGTCAACCAAAATTATGGGCATTTGTAAGTATTAAATAATGTTTATTAAAGTATGTATTATAATGTTAACAAACAACAAATATATATGTAAACAATAAATGGTTACAATAGTAGCAACAACATGAAAACTGTATTTTAACAATTTTAACGATCATTATTCATTTAAGTGCAAAAAGTTCAATGCAAGGGCAACTTAGTTCACCACGATATTCCGTTTTAATTGAAACACGCGAGGAAGTAATTAATGCAAGCATTGTTGCATAATTCCGTTATTTGACTTATTATTTTATGCATTTGGTTTGTAGTTTCTAGAGCTTACTTTTTAAGCACTTAAGTTTAAAGTATATTGAAAAACTTGAAGAACTCGATTTATTTTCATTTAATTAATATTATCATAACTGAAAGGAAACTATGCACCATTGATCGCCCTGAACCTGTTTTCACCCGTTTCAGCCTTGCTTAATTAACGTCTATTTATAGATTACATAACGTACATACCTAATTTCAAATTAGCTATTAATTTGATTTTTCACACGGTTTCACGTTGCTTTGCATAAATGAGGTCCCAGATTCAATTCTAGTTCCGGCCAATTTAAAAAACGATCTTCACTAAATTTGTTTAGGGTTGAGTTATTTATTGGCTTCAGATATTTATTATCTGGTATCTCATAATAAAGGATTATGGTAATTATAAAAGCTTTTATGGCTCGCGAAATTTTATTATTTTAGTTAGTTGTTAATTGTCCTATTTCTTTCATATGAAGAAAGTTTTGTTATCCTCGTGACTATAAATAATTATTTGGCATTATTAATCACGGAAGAGTAAACGATTAAATAGAAGATATAAGTACCTGCCACTTGCGTGCTGTTAAGCTTTACCCAAAGGTTAATGGCATACGTCATTTGAAAAAGCCGACACTGTTATAACTCTTAAAGATTTTGTCCAATAAAGTTCTATTATATATCGATATATATGTATAAAAGAAAAACGTCACGAGGTTAAAATCTCGGGTACAATTAAATATTGAAAACCACATATAGATTTAATTATATTTGGCATATAAACCTACTAATATGCTAGACTAATAGTACTGGTATGGGATAGAGGATAATTTCTATTCATAAGGTTATGACGAGTATATCCCTGTATCTGTGGGATAGAGTTAGTGATTTATTTGTTTATTTTATCAACTAGGTGAGCTTTAAAATTTTTTAATATACCTACCTAGAAAAGTATTAGTAAAAGAATAAATACTATAATAAAGATAATATGCAAATAAGAAATAATAAACGAACGTAGTAACGTAATACACATAATAATAATAATAATACAAAAAAGTCATCTACTTTCCTAATATTTAACTTGGTTACTTTTGTTAATACTTTTTAGTCTTTTACCTAATTTGTGAAGATTATAGGCATAGTAAGTCACGAATTGTGAGTCACAATTCGTTTTTTATTCATTACGGATTTTTTATTTATTCAGTAAGCTGCTCAGTTTAAATAATTTCTAACGATTCGTGTACGTAATACAAAGTAACAGTTTTTGGTACTTTTTCGGAATCTATTTATCTATTTTATCAAATGCGAGAATATAAATAAATGTTAACGTCCTTACTAGTAGGTTGTTGCATCAACCACCGTTAGATTTTTTTTAGATTAAGTTTCTTCAAAATTAATCATAATCGACAGTTCCGGGGCAGTTTCTCGTATTTGCATTAAATTATTCTCAAGGTTAATTACAGGTGGAATATTCACAAAACCAGTGGACTGTTATTGTTGTCGTACGAAATATTTGATTTATTTTCGTCGATTCTAACACAGTGAGAGTAAAGCTTAATTAAATTCGCTATAATTTTAAATGCATCACCGAGTCTTTGTGTCTATTTGCTATCTATTAACACTGTTCTTTAATCCAAATTTTTTGAGTTATAAAAGATATTAAAAAATATTTTACTATTATCTACCTAAACTTACCTGAGCCTGTGCTGGCCAATGTTGAACTCATCAGAATGTTCCAAAAACTGATATGCGTTAGGATTGTACACTGAACTGGAGGAAGAGCCAGGACCGTGTGGTTGTAGCGGTTGTAAAACTTGATCTATTACGTGAAGTACCTAAAATTATACATATTTATTTATATACTCATTCATTATATACTATTATATAAGTGATAAAAGCAATTTTATTTGCTGGTTGTCTTATTTTGTATTATTGAGTGTTATTTCAGTTCAACATGACAAAGAGAGTTGAACGTTTCAAATTGCTAGCTGTATTTATCTAACGTCACTAGTATATAATAGTTGTAATTATAATAAGGGTTAGGGAATTATTTTGTTATAATTCTCTGTAAGAAGATGCTTTCTAACAAAAGGTCGTTGCAACATAGTATAAGTGCAGAGGCCAAGAACGTCAAGTTAGAGGACAAAATAGATCCCATTAAAAATTTTTGCTCCCTCGACTGTCGTCCGCCTTAATAAACCTGCAGGGTTGCGCGCTCCGACAAATAAAACCAGATTAAATTCGTAATGACTGTGTCTGACGCATTTGCGGCTACTGTGTGGTCACTCCGACATTGCGAATCGTAATAATTGTATCCCATTTAATAATTTTTATCATAAAGACAGATATATTTCATTTATTAAACCCATTGTATAGCAATACTTTATCTACTCGTGTCTTCATAATATTATTATTATTATAAATGTAACAAAATTACGTGGTTATATTGTGGTAAATATTATCATCAAACTATATAACCAACTGAGGAAAATGTATAATCGTCACTTTTTCTTTGCATGTTTGCATTAGAATTTTGTATAATTTATATAATTAGTTAATTAGAGCTAAAATATTCTTAGGTGACCTATAAAGATTTTTGTATAAATGATAATTTTCTTTAAAATTATATAGGACTTAGAAAATCTAAATGGAACATTCAAGTTAATCAAATTTAAAAATATTTTTAGATGTTTAAAAGTTTTGTAATATACCTACAGCTCATTGTTTTGGATGTGGTTAGACATACACGTATTGTTTAGTACGTCTAACCACATCATTATCATTAATGGGTAGTTTAACTTTTTGTTATTATTTAACGTGTTATTTACCTGCCGTTTGCCATTTCTATTCGTACTTTGAAAGGACCTGGATACGTAGACTTTTGCATTGTTTATGTAGATATCATCGTGCATGTGATCCTTTCGCCTTGTCACCCACAATGGTGGGTTTCCGTCGAACTCTGATGATATGGCGTAATCCAAATTTGTAAGGGTTGTTGCTAAATTTGCTGCAATGAGATATACTTATGTAAGTGGAATAATTTCATATTATTGCACAAATTTATTGATATTATATAAATGTATTAAAGAAAGATATAAATTTTGCTTCTCCATAGGCACATTATATATTCATTCATTGCCGTATAGTCTTGGCATACAATAGGCCACCCTTCTCTTTACCATGAGTGTCGATTTTACTCATTGCGACTAAGGGAAATTAATTGCAGAGAAATAGGCGGCAGCGTCCCTCTTAAAAACATCATCAAAAACCTAACTGCAGTTGCCAACTCACCTGCCAAAGATGGCAACTACTGACAAAATTCTCCTTATAGTGGAGGCCTATGTTCAGCAGTTGTCAATTAACGGCTGATATAATGATGATGGGTATATCTGTCCCAGGTAGCTGTTGTACCAGCAAATAGTATTGTATGTGTATGCCTGTGTTTTAGTTTTTAGGTTGCGAATCGCAACCTAAAAACATAAATCGCAACTTGCGATATTATAGATTATGAAGGAGTAGCGCCTTATTTTTACTTTATTTCTTCGGAGTAACGTAAGAGATAGATGTTACAATCAAAGTGTATTTATTCTGTGTGTCCTTTTTAGACAAGAATAGCATCACAATAGCCTTAAAATGTATTCTGCGATGTCTATAGTAATATTTATGTTTATAAATGAAGATAAATGACAGTTATCACTTTCTGTCAGGTGGACTATACTTACAAATATGGTAGAGTACCAACGAGTCGTCCATTTCTCCGTTGTACCTTTGAAACGCTTCGTTGGTAGGTGCGAACATCGTAAGCTGCCGGTACTGCAAGCTTGTATTGGCTACTGCATTGCGCTCCAACAACGAGAGAAACTGTAGACAAACAGAAAATTAAGTGCTCAATATTGAGAAAATTACAAATACGATTCTTGGAAGTTTAGTAATTGTTTTCCGGTACAGACTTTATTATTTCATTGTATCTTCTATATTCTTTCTTTTATTATCATGGCTTCAAATCAACTATGGTTAAAAATATCACAATACGACAATGAATACTTATAGTTATTCATATCTGTTTTCTGTTACTATTCTTTTATTCTACACAATTATTGATAACAGATATGCTAACATTAAACAATTATTGTACAGGTATAAGTACAATTGTTTAACTCAATAGTATAATGGAATTATTCATAAATATTGAATATAAGTACAATGAAAACTAGGAAATGTTAATAGAAATCACGTTTCATTGCATGGTGGTAGTATAACAATGGGTTCCCTCGAGAGCCGACTGTTTATAAGTACATAGCATGTAGTGGCCTTTAAGTCGTTTCTATAAACGTAAAATGAGGAAGACTTTGTTCCAATTCTAGATATACTATGTAAAATTTAAAATACAATATCATCAATCTTTTATATATTTCGATGATATATTTTATAGTTTTTAATTACTGCAGATAGTATTTCACATACATTTAATGGCGTGTTTAAATGCAAACCAGTGTCTTTTGAATTATACTATTACACTATTATTGTTATTAAAGCGTAATCAGTAGTACAATATTGTTGACAATATATCTATATCTAGTTTTACTTAAGTACTTACTTAATGTACATAACTTCTAAAATTTACAAAACGTCTATAATCAAACTTTCGTTACTTTATCACTGACTAAACTTTATCTAACTAACGTTGTAAGTTGTCGATAACGAAACATCTAGAATAATTTAGAGGACTCATAAAGTTAAAACTTTTTAGCATAATAATGTAGTCCATTTTCTATAAAATTTTCATATCTACGTCTTTTTCTTACCGCTTATTTTTCTTCAAAGAAAATTGCTCTATATAAACATTGACTGTAATTGTAATTATACGGAAGTATTCGAAAATTTCAGTATTAATAAAGAGAGAATAGGGTTTCCGTTTGAATTCTTGAAGATAATTGGTATCGCTTTATCAAACTTAATGTAAGCTTAGTTATAAATGAAGAGCGAACACTGTCTAAATTGGAAGACTGTATTTATATTGTGTACAGAACCATAATGAACTTTATATTCTGACAACAAGACATGAGGTACTTAAATTCAATTATAAATTAATAACACTTAAGTATTTATATGGCACGCAATAAACTAGTTACAAAAAATAAGGAACCACGAATTTTGTTTGCAAATCTATCTTTAAAGGAAATGACAAATTTTATTCTTCTTCTTAACCAAGGTGCTTTCGTTATTTTTATCTTATAGATAATGATAGCTTAATACATGTTAAATAACAGAATAAATATTAACGATGACTTAAACAGTAAATTCTGTAAGTTCTTGTGGTGAACAATTAATAAAAATTTAATCGAATCGACTAATAATAAATTCGATAAAACTTTACGACTTGTCACTACAGGGAGATAGCTTATAAGAAGAAACACTACTGTTTAAGGTTCTAGGAAAAATATAGTTTAGGGTAAGTGATTGCTTTCATTTGTATTCCAATAAGGAAAAAAAGTTCTTGGAATTTTAAAAATACAATTTCTACATGGAATTTTTATTACATTTTCACTTTGAAAGAAGTTTCATGTTCTGATTACTAAAAACTGCGCACCTGAGGCTAATTTTGTTATTTGCATTTATTATGAGAAGGTTAGGATACTAATAAAAAAACTAGTAAAAACATTTACATTTCTATACTAACTTCTTCATTAAGAACTGTTTTTCAAATAATAAATAAAGACAACTCTTTAAGTGGATAATTATGTGTGTAGGTAACATTATTTAAACATATGAATTTAAATACATAAGCTTTCTAACATATCGTCTTGATTATATAGATGATAGAGTGTCTCCATACAAATGCTTCGAGAAAAGTGGGTCGACTTTTTCATACAATTTTGCGTTATCAATAGTTGTGAGTGTTTCTTTTATAACTTATATATTTATTTTGCTTTATAATTTTTACATCTTTGTAATGCGTAAAATACATTTTATTTATTTAATAATTACATAGAGACACGTTAAGATATATTATGTGCGTAAGTATATAAGATACTAATAAAAGAAAAAAACGTGTTAGCTGACAAGAAGTTGACCCGTTTCTGAGACTCGATGCTCTATCTATATAATCTAAGCATTTCGTACATAAAAACATTTTAAATGAACATGTAACATTCATATCTTAACAAATTGTGCATACTGTTGAATCATGATAAAATGGACACTAAATGACGGTAGGTACAAATAGATCAGTAGGATTATATTAATTATGTCAACTTTGTTAGTTTAGGTATTTGTCTTATCTATTATTTAGGCAATTATGTGTTAGTTGCTTTTACACCGTCATCGTCCACGTGAACAGAATAAAAAGTAGCTTATGTCCTTCTTCATCTCATATAAAACCTTAATACTAAGATTGGGCAAGGGGGGTAAGGGATTGCTAGTAATGGGGCCAAATTACCTCATTGCTAGCAATATACTCTATCAGGTCGACCTCCTCGCGGTTCCCCCTGGAAACCATGTGTGTTAAGTAGCCGTTACGTACTGTTATATTTAAAATAAAACAAATTAAAATAATAATGAATCCTATTTAAGTATGTATTAACATATTCTTGTGGTAATAAACATAATTGTTTTTGTTTTTTAGTGCAGATGATGACGATTCTTACAATTTTATTAATGTGTAATTGCGAAACCTATGTGTATTTACGAATAATAGAATCTATATTACATATGAGTTGTAACAATTAAAACGTATTGAATTGTAAAATCTTTATTGTATATATTGTGTGATAAATAATATTCATAGAAGGTTTATTGGGGTGGGCAGATGCCAATGCTCGTAACATTGTACCGACCCTAGAGACTAATCAAAAATTCATACAGCGCCATAAGCATCCAGTTAAAATTCTCGTTAATAATTACCTCGATATCCAGTTTATTCTGGTATTATGAAGCTTATATTATATACACTATTTATTTGTACAGGTAGTTAATACTGTGTTATTAGTATTACTTGGTATTGTTAATAGATATCTATCTATCCTAGATAATTTAAAACTATATACATACTTTTTTAAAATACATATTATGTATATCAGTTAATTAAATTAATTAATTTTTCTCTTAATATATTCCACCAGTAAATATATTATATATTCTATCAATGGTCAAGTTTCACATTTATACCACTTTATAATAACACTGACCTCGATCGAAGCAAAAACTGTTTTTTTGGTTTAAAAAATAAATAAATGAATTGATTTTAATTGAATTGTCATGAAATAAATCAGATTTTTTTTTTCAAATAAAAAAATATATTGCCAATCGCTTCATAAATGACGGAGTTTTGATGCAACAAATATATAAAAATAATAAAACTGAATTAAGAACCTCCTCCTTTTTTTAAGTCGGTTGATGAATAGTAAAAATCACTCAAAGCTATTCGACTCAAAGTGACTTTTACTATTTATAAACCAGTTTCTAATACGTCTAAAGTCTAAACAATATAAACTATTCAATATTTCATAATGCTGTGATATTCGAAAGCAATTTGATTTCAACTCCCAGACATAAATTTATGTGTTTATTATTTCGTCTAGTAAAAAATCTTAGCTATATAAATCTGTAGCAGCATTGCTAGTCTCTGAGGAGACCGCAGAGACGTCGTCAATATTTCAGTTCTGAGGTCAGGGGTCGAAATTTTGTAACAAAGGTTTCGTAGGTACAACGTTGTATTCGGAATTTTAAATTAGAAACACCCTATTTTATACGTTCTCATATACATATACCTGTGAACTTAAATAAGAGCTATTTGGTATCTTAATCGGATTATATTTACTCTCCCAAGATTAGTTCTAATACTGAAGGAAAAAAGTTATATAGTAAACAAGATAAGAAGATCAAGCAAGGATCAAATCTTTCGGCAACATTAAATGGATGAAATAAGTCGTAACATATACCTATTTAGCGGATAAAAACATTCGTTGACATTTGGCAACGGAAAATAGGCTACGATTAAGTTGTCTGGCAGAATATAAGGGTAAGATTCATATAACTTTTAGGTGGCGCCGTCATGGCGCCGCCGACGTCGCAGCGGCGCCGAGATTTGGCAACGTGTGGGGTGAACAACTGGCCTATTTGCGGATCATTTTAATGAACCTGTGTAATGTTACTTCCCAACCTACGTAAGCATAATAACTAATTAAACTTGTGGTTACAGAAAACTCTTTAAGAGTTTGTCAGCTAAAATAGCAACTTTTAGTGATGTATATTGAGGCCAATGCTGGATTTATTAGCCTTAATAAAATAATAATAATAATTAATAAAATGTTGGTAATTGATGGTATTAAAATAGAATCATAAACAAAACGTGATGAATTCGTGAGTACCTTAGAAAATATTTCTTTTATGCTAAACAATATTAAGTAAATTTGGATTCCATAACTAATAAGAGATCTAATGAAATTTTAATTATCGAGATAAAGTAACTATCTTTATAATAATGATATGTATGAAATATATCATTATTAAATATTACTAAATTGGCTGAATCCAGTAATTTAATATAATAAGTAAGAGTAAAATATATGGTCTATTAATCAAATTTAAAAATATAAAATTATATATAAAATGATAAAATGTTACAATAAGTAATTATTTTAAATAACTCACATAAAAATAAGAAAAGTAATGAACAGCAATAAGATGATAGTATACGCAGCTTTACTCTCTATTGAAAACTACTGAACCTTCGCTATTTTGTTACATTATACTGTCTTTGACTCATACGATTAGCTTATATAGGTGAGGCGAAGTGTATGATAATTCACTGGTTTAACTTCATAGTAAACTTGACACAAGTGTAGGTAATGTTATGAGCA